TGAAGTTTCAGTAGCAACGGGGATGGAGTTGATAGTTTTACATAGTCTAACCTTCCCTCTTTAGTGGCTTTACCACCGGCTAAGCGAGGTCTAAGAGTTTGTCGTCGGAGGATTGAACAGCGAATCACATCCGTAGTTGATGAGTGTTCTACCACTGAGTCACCGACCGAACTAGTAGGTCAGTATTAAATCTGTATAAAACAGGATGTAATTTAAATAAATTGGTACTTAATTAACACGTTACTGTGGAATTGCAAGTTGATAAGTTGAACTCTCAAAGAAAGCATGGCTTTGTGAAGCTAATCAATTGAAATACCTAGGACTCATGTTACACATGGCAAACAATCATCTCAGTCAATGAGAAATTCGAATTGATATAGAGAACTAGCCTGGAAAAAATTAGGGACGGTCTGACCAAAAAATATGACACTGATTCATTAAGTCTTTTCTTGTTACTTTAAATTACACGGAAAAGGTAGGACTGCCTGACTGATGTCTCTGGATTGCTACGAATCATCGGTGGGAGAATGTTGGTGACATTGGTCTAAAACGTATTCTCCCTTTTTCATCATCATCTTGATCATCCAAGTTCTGAAAATCCTTTCTTCATCTAATTATTCTGTCTCCATATTTATATCTTCGTTCACCGTAATTTCAGAACATCTCTTTACTCTGCTTTAATGGTTGGAATTGTGACTCCATACAGTTTTATATAAAGTTCCACGCTGATAAACCATCCAGTCAGTCAGTGGATTTTCTTAAGATTGCTGACAATGAGTTACAAAACAGATGAATTGAAATCCAAGGTTTTGTGTTGTTTAAATGCAAACATTGATTAGAGAAAAAGAGTTTCTATACATACAAACAAATCTTTGCAACGAGACACTCTGTTTAATGACCAATACGCCATACATACCTAGTGTTGCATGAATTTTACTCAGTACTCAGAAATAAGCAGCTACGACTATTTATTTGAATACCTTTCCTAAGTAAAAGACTACATTTATGATGTATGCTGGAATAACACTAGAAGTTATACACTTTCCAGACAAAGCAATAACTACAGTTTTAGCAAAATAAAGTGGTACCATCTTTTATTTCGTCGCCTTCTCGTCGGCTGCTTACAGGGCAAAGGCATTATTAAATATATCTACAAAAACAATTTTAACATATTTGCACAGAGTTCATTTTAAACAACAATCGATCAATATATGCATACAGTAATAATATATACATATAAATGTAATATTAAACACTATTCCGAACAACAATAACCATACACAATGGAAACGTTTCAGCATTTCGCAATCAGATGAATGAGAGATGAATAATATCCAGTTACTAGGGCAAAGAAAGACTGATAACGGCTTTTTTCTGGATGCATAAATCAGGTTTCAGGCACTTGATGGAAATGGCTTCAGCAAACTTGAGGAGAATTGAGCTCTTTTGCCTACTGACAATTTTGAACGACTTTTTGACGTCCACCTTATGACCCGTGTCGAGGAGATGCCTGGCGATGGCACTGTTTAAAGCATTTGTTCCCTTTAGACGTAAGCTTTTTGGTACATGTTCAGAAAACCGTAGATATGCCCTTCTTTCTGTCCTTCCACTGTAACTGCTCCTGCAGATACATGTAAATTTGTATATGCAGTTGGAGTTAACATGAGAAGGATATCTACGGATTTTTGATTGCACCAAAGAGCAAGTTGTTCGATAGACGGGGACGAGCTTAGCTGCAGGATAGGCTATGGCTAGTGATGTATTCAGCCTTCTGCTGATCATCGCTGCAATGTTTTCACCTTTATAATCAAGTTGAATGTAGATTGGCTTTTTCCCCTTTGATTTGTTTTACATTTGAGACTTCAGATCTTCCATACTTGTTAATGAATCTTTGAGGGTACCCATTGCTCTTCAATGTCTTTTCAAGAAACTCAAATTCTTCCTCTAATTTCTCTATAGAACATATTCTCCTCGCTCTAGAGTACAGAGTTATGACTAGTCCGCGTTTAAAGCTATTTGGACAAAAGTTATTAAAATGTAAGTAATGTCCTTTCCATGTAGGCTTTTGATAAATTGACTTCTGAAGACTGCCGTCTTTTAGGCGTTCTATGGCAATGTTGAGGAAGTGAAACTTTCTGTCACTTTCATGTTCCATAGTAAACTCAATATTGGTGTGTGCATCATTAAATAATCTGAGTAAGTGTGAAGCATGACTTTCATTGTTGCACAATATAAATGTGTCATCAACATATCGACAGTAGGAATTTGTTTCGTCGATTGCATGCTTCAACTTTGTTCTTTCAAGGTTGGACATGAATATATCTGCTAAAATAAACTCTGTGCAAGTATGTTAAAATTGTTTTTGTAGATATATTTAATAATGCCTTTGCCCTGTAAGCAGCCGATGAGAAGGCGACGAAATAAAAGATGGTACCACTTTATTCTGCTAAAACTGTAGTTCTTACTTTGTTCAAATTCATAATGGGGAATAAATGAATGAGCTTTCCTGACAATCATACACTTCAATTAAGACACTAAGAAGTAACTGATTTCATACGTCTATGTCTTTGCTTGTTGCAGACTGAATTCTACCAGTCAAGTTTACAATGTGAACACCATTCTAGATGGCCTGTCATCACAGTCCACTCTGAAGTAATCGGCAAGAACCCTTGAACCATCTGAGTTTCGTGTTTCTTAGCACTCACCAGTCAGAAAGGTGTATCTACAATCTTAAAGGAGTTTATATCCCTTCTAAGATTCGAACTCAGGTTACCCACTGAGTGGTACAGTCAGAAACGTTACCACCGAGCTATTCGGGCTAGCGATTGACCTCCTATAGAAGTGTAATGAATAACTGGATTGCATACACTAAGTAGTAAATCATGTCATGTGTCAAGTCCTTCGCTAGGCGCAGAAAAGCGTCAGTAAGCACGAAACCTAGGTCCAAGGCTTCCTGCTGACTGCCTCTAACTAGCCAACAACAGTTGTGGACTTCAATCATCCTAAGAGAATAAGCTCAGGGTGTTTACTTCAGCGAAAAAAAAACAACTAAAACTGAATTAGGCATAGTGCTAGGTTGAAAACAAAACCAATATTCTAGCTGTAGAGAGTTTACAAACAATGAATCATCAATGTTTTTTTAAAAATTTATTTATTTGCTTTCTTTTTCTTGTTTTGTCTTTTTGTTGATTTCAGTCCATTTTTTTCGGTTGGCTGTTTTAAAGAAAGGCAAATTAAGATGGTTTAGCAGAAAAACAATTCGCCCTAACGATTATTGGGAGTTTCCTTAGGAAGTGATCAATAACAAATAGCGCGTAATGTGAAGATGATGATTCATCACACAGAATAATACCATCTGTTCAGACACATATTGTCTCTTATGATTACATATGCATGTACACCAGTTAACAGTTATGTCCAATATGTATATTGGTTGCTTTTTTTAAAAAAAAGCAGTGCCTTGTTTTAAGTGATGGAATAATTATTTATGCGCTATATTGCAAAACGGATGGAATAGTTAGTATTGAACTGATTAATTTGAATTTTTAATGAACAAACAGCCTAATTAATATGAACTTATATGCAACAAATCCAGCAGTACATCAAACAAAACGTGAAACTGACTAGATGCGGTTAGACTTTCGCAGTGACAGTTAATATGATTGATAAAATCACCCAAATACCATCAAATTACTCGGCAAATAATAAATTTTTGTATTTTACTTATTATATTTTCACTCTACCCCTTGAAGTCTCACAAAAAGTGTTTCAAACAGGCTGCAGGTTCTCATCAATAGTTGTCTTTACTTTATACTAAACATCATATGGCCAAGAGGGATTAACAACATGGAAACCTGGCAAGGAGCCACCTAATCAAGAACCTATTGCTCCAGAAATATACCGAAAAAAATGGAGACGGATTAGACACACGCTAAGGAGACCGTCGAATGACATCGAGCTATAGGTTGGCCCTTCAGTGGGGCTCGAGTAGGAGACCGGGAGTTGGGCGTGAGTCCGAGGGTGACATGGACGAGATCTTGTGTGGAGGAGATGAGAGATTATGGGTAACCGTGGAGCCAGCTAAAGATAACTTTGGAGAGCAGAACGAAATGAAGATGTTCCACTCGGAACCCAAAGGAACAACGAGAATAATGAACACCGTTTAGAGACAGTTTTTATCACTATTTGGGAAATAATTGAGATCAGAGAGTAATAATTCAAAACGTGAATAAGAAATGCAGCAAAACAGTTTAACACTCCACTAACCATACTACAAAAATTCGAGGGAAAATAAATAAAACTTCGCATTCTAAAGATATTAACTTTCAGCCTAAACATTCGAAACTTCGGTGGTTCAATAGTAGAGTGCTCACTAGACGCATAAGCGTTTTAGGTTCGATTTCTGTTCGATGAAGCATTCATCAAACTCGCCCAGTCGGCAGTAAACTCGGAGAAGAAGGAAGCTTAGAAGTGAGGCTACCAACCGCAATGAGTACGAGGAACAATACCACCGCCAATGAAACTGCAAAATTTGAAGCCCTATTTTGGACTGAAAACGGAAAGAATGAAGTAAAAGATCCGAATTTTCATCTGTGGTTCCAGTGATTTCAAATTGGACGGTGAAAAAAGTGCTCACATTGTTAAAATATTACTGGTTATCATTAAGGATGAGTGACCCATATTTTTTGGATACTATCAAGTCACACAAATCTACTCTCGGTTCATTAGTCATTTAATATGTGTATGCAAACTTAGTGACGACCCGATATAAGTAACATATGCCTTCAACCTATTCACTAATATGGTCTTAAAACACAATGGACATGACTACACCTCTGTGGATTATCATATATCTGATAGATTCAATGAATTCACATTCACATAAGCTTGTACACTTGGAAAAATAATTAAAACTTGCATATCGATTAAATATTGTGCAGTATTAGTCAATTAAAAAAAACAAAGCCTTAATTATGGAAAATAAAAATTTAATAACTAACCGAAACAACAGCTTCTCCACAGTAACCGCATTTTGGAGAGAACATTTGAACATGACACTGCGTGCAATAGGCTTGATCATCCCGTTCATAAAAATCTTGACGAACAAGGCCAACACGACAACTGGCACATGTAAAGTGCTCTGGATGCCATTCTTTACCAATAGCTGTGATAAGCTGTAGAAATTACAAAAAGAAATGTGTACATCTTAAGGAATATATATATATGTCAAAGCTCACTAGTATTCACAGCTAAAATGCCTATAATACACTGTATTATTGAAAAGTAGAATAAACCTATGGATGCATGACACTATATACTACTGGTCGACCGAGATAAGTAGTTATATGCCACTTACATCTACCAGTAGTGCTTCTGGTCTGGATAACGGATGACAGTTTCGCTCAATTTTAGTTGAGCTAATCAATGGTGTAACCGGTTAGACTCAACTGACAGAGTCGAATCAGTTCAAATCAACTGATCTCTGGCTACTTACTTGAGCAAGTAAGCTGCTAATGCCATAAGTCCAATTCGCTATTTACACAATTCGATTTCATCACAGTTTCCTTTTGAAACCGAAATTATTCAGGTCAAAATGTGTGATCTGCTTCATACCATAAATGGTAGTGAAGAAACTAAACATATTTGCATTGAACTATATACTACTGACTGACTGATATGAGTAGTTGTGTACCACCCATATCAACCGGTAGTGATTGCTAGCCAGTTCAAGGTGATCCAAACACCCGACTGCCATTTCACTCGTTTAGGGCCAAGCTCATCAGTGATGCAGCTGGTGTGATTCAGCTCTGGCTGGCAAGCACTACTGATTAATGTGAGTAATATTCAACTTCTCATCTCAGTCAATCAGTAGTAAATATAGTGTGATTTATTTCTCTCTGCTTTCTTGACTGGCATTTATTGTATCAAGTACATTACATAGTGTGATCTGAATAATTTTGACTTCCAAAGATAACAATGGCGAAATCCTATTTTGAAGTGTGTAAATTGAGAATTTGGTTAAATCTGTTCACTAGAAAACAATCTGATAACAGCGTATCTGAGGGGTGGAGAAATTTCAAAGTGGTTATAACAGTAGGGCACACCATAATACCTGATCGGGTTTCAGTAACTTTATTTACTAAGTTGGGTATGTACAATGTTAAGGAGCTGTAAAATAGAATATACTACTACGCTACTATGGGGTGCCACCGACAATTATACATCTCATCCAACAGCTGTACGACAATGCTGCATGCCAAGTAATCCACAACGGGAAACTTACGGAATCCTTCGAAGTGAGGACAGGAGTAAGACAAGGCTGCCTACTATCGCCAATGATTTTCCTGATTGCAGTAGACTGGATAATGCGACAAACAGCGGGCCAGGCAATGAGGAAACAGGCATAAAATGGACTCACACAAAAAACTTGGAGGATCTGGACTTCACCGATGATATATGTCTGATTTCCCACAAACTGGAAGATATGCAAGCGAAAAGCAACAAGTTGGCAGAAGAAGCATCAAAGATAGGACTTCAAGTGAACATAGAGAAGACAGAGGTGATGAAGATTCTTGGCCAACACCACTAACAGCAACAACAAGAACAACAGATAACAATCAGTATAAATGGGAGGAACCTGGAAGAAACTACCTCTTTTACCTACCCGCCTACCTGGGAAGCATCGTCTCAACTACAAGCGGAACTGACGAGGATATCAAAGCAAGAATCGGGAAAGCAAGACAAGCTTTCACTACTCTCAAGTCTGTGTGGAGGTCAACAGCACTCAGCATCAAAAATATGATCCGGATTTTCAACTCCAATGTGAAGTCAGTGCTACTATACGGATCAGAGACTTGCCCAGCGCGTCATAAAGAGCATCTCAAACAAACTACAGACCTTCATTAACAGTTGTCTTCGCTCAATACTCAAGATCAGATGGCCAGAAAAGATCAGCAACAGAGATCTCTGGGAGCGAACCAACACAGCAGGAACCGATTGTGAAACAAATAGGCAGGAAGAAATGGAGATGGATTGGCCATACTCTGAGGAAACCATCAAGTGACATCACTAGACAAGCCCTTGAGTGGAACCCGAAAGGGAAGCGGCGAGTTGGTCGTCAGTACAAGTGTGACTTGGAGGAAGTCATGTGAAGAGGAGATGAAAACGTGTGGGCAGACTTGGAGCCAGGTGAAGACTCTAGCAGAGAACCGAACGCAATGGAGACGCACGGCTGAAGCCCTATGTTCCTCCAGGAATTAAAGGAAACAATAATAATAATAAATATATATATATCAACCGTTCATTATCTTTCTATTTTATTCCCATTCGGGACGACACCTACCCTCAGAATGAATATTTATGGTTGAAAGACATCCCTTATAGATACCGGTAAGACCGGTATGTAGGGGAGGTTGAACGTGAGGCCAGCATCCCCACTGCTACAGTTGGTTAACTACATTGTAATACTAATTCTTGAGAAAACTGTCATTTCAGGTAAGGGGACACATTCATTCGAATAACCAAAACAAAGCAAACGTTAGCTTACTGTTCCATTGATAGGCTTTTTACAGGCATAACATTCTCCTCGTGGATTTGTTTTTGCACCATGTTGAGATAATTCAGATGATAAATCGTTAAGCATTGAATTCAGTAATTGAGTTGGACAGTGTTCACTAGGTTGAACACTTTTGTCTTTTTCATATTTTGGCACTGTAACACGTTGAGCATGCTGCCTTTGTAATCGTGTTGTACTGCTTCCATTGTCAGTATACTGATAAGTATTATAATCATGATTTTGATATGATTGATAATTTTCATTATTGAGACTACTGTCCATAATATTATCCATAGTATTTATGTTGTTAGCATTATCAATTCTATGACTTGATGTTGTAGATGACTTATTCGAAGGTGTTTGTGAATTTCTCTGGTGAACATCAGATGATGAATTGTTATCAATGAATGAATTGCTCATACTACTCGGTAGTTCAGCTCCTGAATCACTTTGATGATTACTCACCTACGTTTACGACATCGAAAAAAAGAAAAATGAAAATTTAGCAATGCATCATATGAAAAAGTGCCAGAAAAGTTACAGCGGTGAATTCTCAATCCCAGAATCTCAAAAACTGAATAAAAGAATAACAGATGAGCTAAAAATGTATCTTTTTCAATAGCTAGATTTATTCGTCAATGCGGTAACAACTACCTGTGAGAATATTCCAATATATTTGCCTCAAGTTATAACTTCATTGTGTGGATAGATAATAAGTCAGTTATGCATCATCGGATTATGTAATGGTTGGCTGGCGGTCGTGCTAAAATCGCGAAGTGACAGAAGTTAGAGTCCATGGAACATTGCATTCCATCCCAGTGACTTAACAGTCAGCGAACTCGCCTTGTAATCTAAAGAGGTCCAAGGTTCTATTCCCGGTGGAGTCATGAGTGCGTACTGATGGACAGTCCCAAACGAGGACGAAATATTTTTTTCAAATGCTCCCTGTTTTTCAGTGGTCCCCTAACTGATATCAATTCGTAATCAAAACCAGATACCAATCAAATCCATGCAAACTAAAACTTGAGGATCTGATTTATCACAACAGTGAAGATACAAACAGCGAAATGATTTGACTTAAAAGAAAAGTAATATAAATAAACGGTCAATTCAATGCAGATGAAGCGGCCAGGTCAGGATAATTCAGGTAAAAAAGCGCTGAAGCTTCGGTAGCAGTGGTGTTTATTTTTACGGGATCGGGTTGCTAACCTGATGCCCAAACCTTCCATCTTTACCAGTCTTATTACTGACTTAGCGAGGTAAAGGAGTGCGTTGGCCAGGTCGAAACCTGGACCACATGCGTAGTTGGCGAGCATTCTACCTTTGTGCCAACGACGCGCAAAAGCGGTGTTCCACATTAATTTGCTTACTGGATATATAACACAGTGAAACAGAATTATTTACTGAATGAGGTTTCCAACACAATTTATTGTTCATAATCATATCTCATAAACAAAGTAACAGAGAATTACATAACACTGCAGTGCCCAATTTGTACAGATGTAATACCTCTTTCAGTTTCTCGTTGAACTGTCAACATTCATTCATATGACTGCCATTTAAGTCCATTTCTAGAGTTACGAAGTAGAACTCAGATTTGGGAGTAGTAGGATTTGGTTTTGATAAATTTTTTCTAAATGAAATCTACTCTGAAAGTTGTAAACTGACCTGTACACTGAACTCTACTCCTCTGTCGTCTGATTATACTGTAAATAGTAAGTCTTTTAACACTTAATAATTTTTCTACTTATGTCATTTTGGGAATTATGTTGCTTATACTTTCCGATTGGTTGGAGGATTTCATCATGAGCTGACATCAGTTAGAGAGCCATTGGAAAACCTGAGAGTACTGGACAGCTGTTTGTTCCTAGTTTTGGACTCTTCATCAGTACTCATCCACCGCCGGGTCTGAACCTAGGACCTTCTGGTTACAAGGCGCTCTCGTAGAACATTAAGTCAGTGTCCAGAACTCCCAGGTTTTCCAATGGTTCTCTAACTGATGTCAGATCATAATGAAATCCTCCAACCAATCAAACTAAATCCCTAAAAAAAACCAGTGCTTATACTTTCTATTTATAACTCGACTTCACTGTGAGAAAAGTATGTTAAGTAATTTTGTAACTTATAATTTGATTTTGTCTAGAATGTACGCAGTTGAAGTGAAGTGATGAAATAAAACGACCTAGTATTATCCTGCAAATATGTTCGTTTTTTCTTTGTTCAAACTAATAAAAGGAACCTTGTTGAATGAAATTCATATAATTATCAATATTGTAAATAGATTGTTGATCGAGAGCTTTTCAGATCAACCATCTTGCTAAATGACACTAAACGATATTTTCTGTTAGCCTACATTCGAATTCAATTGAATTCTTTAATATTATAAAACATAGAATAAATCATTCCACAAACTATTTGACTATATTAATTGTTTCTTTTAAAAAACACACAAACAAAACATAATTCCAACAATAATCAGTAAACAGGTGGTTAAAACACATGTAGACACACAAGTGAAATAAGCGAAAATCAAATACCAAAATAAAAGAAAACACTCAGATAAACCAGTAAAAAGCAAAGCAACGCCCAATTTATTTCAGTGTGGGCTTCGTTACAAACCAACACATCAATTAGAAGAGATCATTAAAAAAACTAAGGGGCACTGAACAGCTGTCTTGTTTTGCCTTTGGGACTCCTTAGCAATGCACACCTACGACCCCACCAGCGATCGGACTACACACCTTCAGTTTACGAGGTTAAGCTCATTGAGCATTCAACCACAAGAGCTGGAATTTAATGATCCGTAGATTCTAAAATCTGTTAATTCGTGATATAATGACACTCTCTTCAACGAATACCTTCGACCAGCATCCACTTGATATGGTGGATCGAAATAATCACGACTTCGCAATATGGCTCCTGGACATCCATCCAATAGCCACCAATGAGCTGGAGATTGATGTACAAACCATAGGCTTTTGTAGATTTCGTCAGGAAATCCCTGTAAAAAAGCCCTTAGTCTAATTAATTATCACAAAAACACACAATTCACTTTTGAATTAGCCCTTTTAAATCACTGGTTACAGTCAAAAACAATTCGACAATGTTTTGTTCTATTTTTTACACGAATTAGATTTCAGTCTAACAATTAAAGTAGTTTGATACACATCTACACACATCCCACACACACACACTCACGTCTACATGCGCACAAAAGCAGTAGTGCTTCAATATGGTGCACAAAATAAATTCACCTCACATGACTCTAATAAATATTCAATTATAAAACATTTTCATATTCTCTTCAGCTCTACATTTATATATGTTTTTATACACAGAATATTTAAATTAGTAGTTATTAACAATATTAATACATTTGAAAACGTATTTGTTAATAACTACTAATTTAATATTCTGTGTATAATATGTAGAGCCTGAAGAGGAATTTATCGAAAAGAATATTCTTTGCTCGATTATTTTGTTTTTATAGATGTCTGAATGAACATTTTTGCAATATTAAATATTCAATTGCCAATGAATTTGTTTAAGTAACCTGATATAATGTATTTTTAGTAAGTAGACGAGAAAAAAACAAAACAAATTAAGTGGTAAAAAATAAAGTTTGGTGTTTTTTGTGGTATTTGGACGAAGTCAATATGAATAGGCAGAGCAAGTGTACATTGTGAGATAGATTAAAGCATGCAGATGTATTAGAAAAGACATCGGGTACAAAAATAATGTTACAATACATTTGATATAAAGTCGAAACGCATAATTTAAGTAAAATTTCGAGAAATATAATAATGACGAAATAAATTTTAACTGAATATCTAACTGGTTAACAAACTAAACCTATCTGATAGAAAAGGACACATTGTTAATAATTACAATATCAATATAAAAAATGCATGTGCGTCTGTGGTTCATTTGTGGAGTGCTCACCAATCACATACACACACATACATAACCCAGGTTCGATTCCTGGCTGATGCACTCATAAACCTTGCCTAGCTTACCAAATGACTGTAACCAACGGAACAAAGAGAAGGTTAGACTTGAGTCCAGCCAACCCACCCCGTAAAAATAAAATCATCACCAGTGGAAATTTAAAAACCTTGGAGCTGTGTGTTCCACTCGGTAATCAGAGGTTGATAAACCCGGGGTTTTTTCGCAATGTTAAATTCTATTTTATCAAATCTCACATCACGTTATGTAGCGTTTTCATTTGCCAACTAATCCTATAATATTACACCCTCTTTCAAAATCTATACATCCTATGAACTATTCTATATATGACAATATTTATTTCGCCACTTGACATTTAAATATGCTTGTAATCACAAACATTTTAATTGCATTCTGTACTATTACTATTATTTTTACTTTAGAAAGGCATATTGCACAAAGATCTGCTGCCTTGTATGACTTATCCATTAATGGACGTCAAATGTTTACTGAGTATGCCCCTGTGGTCATTAACAAACGAACAATATCCACCAAGTCTAAACTATCTAATAGCCTCAAATATATTGAATCTTATTGGAAATTTCCGGATAATCTTGAGAAATACGTATTTAACCATTCTTCTATTTCCCTATCTAAATTTCAAATGGAAGCCTTGTCTATAAGATCGAAGTTTTGTGATGTTAATCCCAATGTTAGCAAGCTTCATATACATGTTCAGTTAGAAAATCTACTCAGCCAAACCAATGATCTTATACCATGGTCTGAACAAGATTTCCAATGTTTTGAACCTATCATCACTAATTCTTGCAATCAGTAACTTAACGCTAAACGGAAAATGCATAGTCTTCTGACAAAACAGCACAAAGAAGAGTTAAAGCAATTGAAACACATTAAAGATACACTATTAACACTCCCTGACAAGGGTGAAGGTGTTGTTATCATGAAACATGGTAAAGAGTCTCTTCGCTGAATCACTTTTTTTAACTTTCTAAAAATACATATCACTGGTTGATATCAGCAATTGAAAACTACTCACATCAACCAGCAGTACTGCCAACGAGACTAAAGTTAAAATCTAAATATTTTAGGTTTCTAAACAATAATCGCGACTTTTTTTTCACCTTGAACTCTGCATATCGCAGCAGCTAATTATATTCCATATAACAAAATATTATGAGGATTTATTGCACTCATATTTAAAAGTAATTTCAAACTTTTACTCCTAGCGTCTAGAATTATGTTAACTTCAAAAACGCTGAGATATCAGAACATACAGATTATTTTTAAATGTTTGTTACACGATAAACGCTTAACATTTGTGTGAAACAATGAAACAGTGACAGTATGGCGTGTGCGTCGGTGGCACAGTGGTTAGGACTCTCACCGACCATGCATATGGTCCGGGGTTCAATCCCTGCCGGCGCCACGATATCTATGTCCTGAATTGGCTACCGATATCATGCTAAAGATCTATAAGTAGTATATATATACAGATATAA